AAGTCCGGCATCTTGGGGATGAAGGCGGTGAGAAATTTGAGAGTCCCGTGATCAGGGGGGGAAATAACGAGGGCATTAACGCAGTGCGCAAAAGTGGCGAGGGGTGAAGTTGAAAGGCGGGCGAATGCTTTACAAATGGTAGTATCGCGCAGAGTGACAACTTCAAAGAGATGCTGGCGACTAGAACGCAGCCAGGCTTTGTTGACCAGGCCACAGGTCGTTAGGGCGTGCTTCTGATCATGCAAGTGGTCTATGATGAGATCTTCGAGCTCTGGGGGAAGATCCGTCATGGCGATTCGTGGCCTAGGTTCATCGCTCTGGTGAGTTCGTCATTAACCAGCAGAAGGCATACCGATTCAGAACGTTAGTGCTATGACCCCAATTGACCTCGCTGTTAGTTTCAAAGAGCAGTGAGCACGTCCCACTCGTGAATAGAGGATAAGGAATTGAAACCTGAATTCACGGGACCTAGGCTGGCTTCGAGGCAACTTGGATGAAGAGGAAGCTGTTGTGGTCACGACAAAGACACAGCCTCCAGATAGTCGTCTCTGATGGGCAAAGTGAAAGTGACGCCACTGCCGCCCTTTGACGCCCTCCGCCGGAGGGGGGCGTCAGCAGGGGGGCGGCAATGTCATGAATTATTTCGGGTATTTAAAAGTACCAGTGCTTACTATACCTGGTCCTGTAATGTACAATCATAAATTCAGTGCTTACCATATGTATGAACACTGGGAGTTATTGGAATGAGCCCGATGGTGTACCTTGCAAGTTGCGGGGGCGGCAGATGGCAGCAATGTAGTGCGGCAAGGGGCGGTACTCGGCGTCAGGAGGGCGTTAGGTGGGACGTCACATTGGAGGTCGCAGGGCGCCAGTCCAAATTTGGGGGCTTTGGCCAGAGACATCACGACTGTTGGTCCATGGAGTTCCTTTCGATTCAGGCATCTTCATTCGTATTCTCGATCAAGTCGGCCGAGGGGCTATCAAAATGTAGTGAATATTAACGCAGGCTGCCAATTCACTCTCTTTCTAAAATTAAGCATTCTGTAGAAGGATGAGGCTATAAGGCCGCTTGCCACAGAAATTTTTGTTCCTCTGCTGGGAGAATGTATTACAGTAACCAGCTTATTGTAATCTGCCGCGTTAATAAATCTCTCTCAGGACTTGCCATCAGTTCTTATTCTTTGGAATAAGGACTTTTCCAACGGCGTCAATTATTCAACCGAAAGTGGTGGGCCACTGTGCACCGCAAAGCTGCCCACCGCGCTCTTGTAACGCAGCTTTAGTCATAGATCCGCTTCTCCGCAAATGCTTCAAATCCGAGTGTAGTCACCCAACGGTTCTTGTCCGCCCAATACTTTTGGGCCCTTCAAAGTGGACGTATTTAGGGCGCTAACCACCACTCTCTTGCTACGGACCTCTTACTCACCAACTTTCAAAGATGGCGCTCAAACTTTATGCAGTAGGGTATGCTGGTGGTGGTAGCGCCATTGTTGCGCTAGTCCTGGCAGAGAAGCAGATCTCTTTCGAACACATTGTGGTCGACTTGACCGCCCAGGAGCAGAAAACCACAGAATTTCTCGCACTGCATCCATTTGGTCAAGTCCCAGTTATCGTCAGTTCGATAACATCATTTCGATCTTTACCAGTTCTGACGATTGGCTTCAGGACGACGACGGATTCATTCTCTACGAAAGTCGAGCAATCTGCCGGTACCTGGCGGAGAAATACGCGGATCAGGGGACCCTGCTTCTCCCTAAGGGCCTGAAGGAGCGAGCGTTGGTGGAGCAAGCGGCATCCGTTGAGTTGGCCGACTTCAACCCGGCAATCGTGAAAGTCGGCAGGGAGGTAATCAAAAAACGGCAAGTTCATTTGAAGTTTATCCCCTTTTCACCCGCCGGCGCAGATCTGATGTTTATCCCAGGCGCCTCGGCATTCTTGTTGAACAAGCCGTCCTTGAAGAAAGCCTCGCTGGAATGCGCGCCATACTTGATGTGTACGAGGTAATCCTAGGCAGGCACAAGTTTCTTGCAGGCGATGTGCGTACACATTCTCTGAAGGAATCGATCTATTAACCGGCCCGCATGATAGGAAATCACGCTATCGGACCTGTTCCACTTGGTCTACGCGAAGGCGATAGCGGAGTCTGGGCTAGATTTCATGACCAGCAATGGTCCGAATGTTAAACGGTCAGTCTTTTCTGTTTCCTTATTATTCGATGAGTTGACCTTCCCTTGTAAGCTGGTGGAATGAGCTCATCTCGCGGCCGGCATGGGTCAATTTGGTGGCAGAGGGGATTAAAGGAACCGTGAATTAAGTGGAGACCGAAAGGGTTAGTAGGCTGAAAAAAGAATTTAAGTAGTGCTGTTCGTACAAGGCTCATGAAGGTGAATGTCCCTGAGGAAGATGGTGAGACTTCGAGAGAGGCCATGCAAAGGGATCGTCGGCGATTCGTCAGTGTTTGAGCTGCAGGCATGCCAGAACAGTTTCTGATAAAGCGATAGAGTAGAGGCAAGACTTTATCTAGGCCGCCCGTCGCTATCATTGACGAAGAACTGGAGAAAAGGAAAATCGCCCTCATGGCGGAAGCAGAAGAGCGTGTGGCGATGCTCGCCGGCCATCAGGCCATCGCTCACTTGTGATCTGGCTCTCTCTCTTTCCACCGCGTTCACCACAAGCGTCTACTAACGTGAGCGTCCCTGCATCCAATCACAAGGAATCAAGACGGCATACCTGGTTTTTCCTATGCTTTCACGCATATATCTTCCCTGCTCTGTGAATTTTGCTGGAGCAATCCAGCCATGTCGGGCGCCTGAGGCTGCGAAATCCACTGAACGACATCCGGAAGCATCCATTCCGGAATTTACACCTTTCAGCCAAGATTGGCCTCAGGGATATGAATCTCGCATCATTCCTGCACTTCAGTCCTTCATGCCTACTTAGTGTACTTTTTGGACGCCTCAGAATGCTTCGGCTTAACGGCGACACATCGCGCATCCCCAGCACATCTGCCGCTACTAGGTATGAAGATGGACGAGGTGCGAAAAGCACAAGGATAGGTGAGACAGCAGTACATGACATTGCAAGCGCTTCGGTCTGCAAGTTCAACCGAGACTCGTCAATCCTTGGCTGCTCTCTTGCAATCTACACCAAATCGTTTCCAAGGGGTACCAGATCTAGATTACTCCTCGATGCTCCTGAAAAAAAACCTGGTATAGTCTTCCATGCCTTATATACACTTGCGCAGTGGGCGTGATTCGCTTGTGCTGATCGTAATATCTATCTATCTCTCATCTTGGTAGGGTGGTCTCGGATTCATGCATTCCAGAAAACGCTTTACTCAACGTGCCGCACGCGAAAAAATAAAATTTCGAATACATTCACCTGACCCCGGATCGAACGGGGATCTTCTGCGGCACTATTTCGCGCAGTGTATTCGGCGCAGATGCACCCAATGTGCTATCAGGTGGGCTACATCTTTGTATGCGAACCCGTTCAAGTATTATGCCTTCAAAAGGGATACATGCATGGCACCAGGATGTATTCGTATACACTTGACCAAAAATATTCCATGTCAAACCAGCAGTGACTATGATCCGCGCCATCTTGTACGATGCGAGCACTGGATACCCGTTCTCTCCGTCAAAAAAGAAAATAACACCAAGATAGAAAAAATTGCTTACTCCCACTAGCCTATCCCCTGACCCCGAATCGAACGGGGGGCTCCGCAGGAAAAGGATACCCATAAACTTGACGCGGATACATGCCAACATGCTACCAAGGGCTTGTCGGCTCCATTGTCTCAGAATTACATTCCTATCGTTCGTCGAGCATAACAGTGCATGCGCAGTGCTGCGAAGTTCCGTACATTCTCAGGCGGTCGCCTGTCCTGCTCTTCTCGCGAATCGCTATGATAGTGGTGTTTTGAGGTCCATGGTACCCATCAGTCCCGCATCTGTGCAGTTGCAGATGAGGTTTTTGGTCGACGTGTGGCACCCGAGGGCAAAAAAGAGCGGATACCCAGAGCATGCACCTGGCCCGGATCGAACGGGATCGTCTGCTGTACTTTACATGCTGCAAAATTCATTTGGCGCAGTGCACTCGATTGTGCTACCAGGTGGGTTTCATCCTTGTATGTGAACGCAGATAAGCATTATCCGTCGAGCAGGAATATCAGCATCGCACTGGCATCTTATAGGTGAGTTAGAGTTGGGGGAGTAAATTCCAGCCTCGGCAAGTCCGCAGAGACCATCATCTGCGCTGTCTCCGATACGGGACTCTGGCCACACCTGTATGTTTCTAAATAAAAATAAAAATTGTCTCTCCCTGATATACCCCCTGGCCCCGAATCGAACGGGGGCTGTTCCGCACAACAAGGTGTCGCTGACCATACACATGTCGTAGATGCATGCCCACATGCTACCAGGGGCTTGTGCACTTCATTTTTTTTCGGAATGACGAACACGCGGTGGTTTTTAAAGTATTCGTGTCTCTGAGTCGGGCATGCGTCGACATTGGACGGGAAGGCGTCATGTGTCCGGCATTGGTGGCCGTCGGCGGTGGTCAAGATTTGCGTTCATACAACTCTCCAAGACGCGCCATGTCATGGGTGCGTGGTCATCCCAGCCAGAGACTCTTGACCAGCGCACGCTGCGACAGGGAAAATCTCAGCAGGAGACTGAAGAATTCAACTGCTCCCGGATCGAGCGGCGGTGGTCTGCAGCATCGCATTTCCCGCTGCAAATTTAACGCTGATACCCTCAATTGTGCTATCAGGTGGTTACCTAACTTTTGCCTATGCCGACACATATAAACTGCTATGTGTCGCTAGTCACATCGATGGTTAGGTGTTGCATGTTCTGGCCTCCTATGAAATTGCTACGATAGCTGGTTCTGCGAGTCCTATGCGGTATATACCGGTCTCTAATCAATCCAATAGCGAAAGCGGGCTACTCAGGCGTGCTGCACGCGCAAAAAAAAACGGTCGTCATGAAGGGGTGTATTCACCTGACCCCGGATCGAACGGGGATCGTCTGCGGTATTGCCCAACCAAGAACACCTAATTCATGCAGATGCACTCCATTTTGCTATCAGGTGGGTCATATTCTTGTAGTTGACCCCACTCAAGCATTATCCATGGGAACATTAGCGCCGCAGTGGTGTTTTCTATCGCCGAGGGGGCTTTTCACCTTTGAACATTTTCTGGAACTGGGACTCTCACATGAACGAGGCATATTACCCTGTTAAATCAACTTTCGAACGGGATTGTTCCGCAGGATAAGTTTTGAGATCTTTATTTAATGCGGATGCATTCCGAAATGCTGCTTTCCCTGTTTGGTGTGGCTCAGAATTGTGAACGAGCCTTTCGCTTCTCGGGATCATGTGCTAATAGCAGAGGTCGAATACTCAGCAGAGCTTAGCCACGTGAGATATCATATATCATAGCCCAGCTCAACCAAGGTCAGAAATTCAACGGCGTTATTTGCCTGTGTTATAATTTATGGGTCACTGACGTCATACTCCATTTAAACTCTTTCCTCCTACCCCCACCATGCCCGACGCTGCCGACGGTCACGAATCCGACGATTCTGCCCAGACACCTCAACACGACTCCGAGGAGCAGCTGGGAATTACACCGCGCATTTCCAGCGCATCTCCCGCTTCAGGTCGTGAGGATGGAGAAGGCGCACAAAGCACAAGGGCCGCCGAGTCCGCGATGCAGGGCATTGAGAGCACCTTCGGTGCGCTTTCTTAACTCTCACCGATTTTAGGTGCTCATTGAACATGTCTTGCAGCAAATACGAGAAACCCCGCGTTCCGCCGCCTAAACAGCCTCGCTGCGGAGGACGACGACGAGACCGCAAGCACCACCACCGATCGCACGGAATTCAGCACGACCGCGCAAGCGGGCTCCTCCGTCCCCTCCTCGCCCGGCTCGCCCGCCACGCCCACAGAGGATGAGATAGAGAAGTCAGCAGCTGCCGGCGGGGAAGCGCACGACGGGCACGGCGGTGCAGAGCAATCCGACGCCGACGCGAGCCCGTTCTGGAACCAGGACCACGCCTCTGCGAAGAAGGGGGAGCCGCCGACGCTCAATCTCGCGCCCCGCACGCACCCGCTCGCGGGCGAGGGGGCGGAGCACGGCGGGGTGCCGCTGTGCGAGGACGCGCAGGCGGAGATGGACGACGAGCGCGCGGACGGCACGCGCGGGCCTGCGTATGGCGGCGCGGTGGATGAAGAGGACAGCTATTCGTCGGACGAGGCAATGGAGGATGGGAAGGTGAAGCGGCTGGTGAAGCGCGTGAAGGGTGGGGCGAAGGTGATTGGTGGACGGATGAGAGGGGATAAGGAGAAGGTTAAGGAGGGGCAGGATATGATTGCTGCAACGTAGCGGGTATTTGACTTGAAGTGTACTTTTAGCATGGTGTATCTAAAGCCGTCGTGGATCATGGTGGTCGCCCTCTACCGCTATCAAGGGTTTGTCAGCGCATGTGTTTAGAGGGTGGCGGGGGTTCGATTCCTCCCGACGGCTTACTCCGAAGTTCTCTTTTCTTTTTCGTGCAATCCGCTTAGATCTCCTCCTCTGATTTTATCTCCCATTCATAAATACCCGCCGTCGCGGACCATGGCGGTCCTCCGCACCAAATAGCAATCATGTCTTTGAAGGTTCAGAGCGGGAGAAGGAGGTTCAATCCCTCTCGACGGCATAACTGGGTTTTCACCTGTCTTTTTTCCAGCACATACGCCCACCATTTTTCCAGTCTTAGTTTACTTAGAATGTGGTGCATAAAGCCGTCGTGGACCGAGGCGGTCACCTGTGGAAATTTGTCTGAATTTTGGGACATCTTTCAGTCGGGTGAAGGAGGTTCGATTCCTCCCGACGGCGTGCCCCATCGATAACCACCCTTTTTTTCCATCCAAAATTGGCTCCATTTCCTCCTCTGATTTTATTGTCCGCTAATAGCCTAATACGCCTAATCGTCGCGGACCAAGGTGGTCGCTCGCACCAAATCCGGTGTTCGCCATGTATTATATATATTCAAGTGCGATTCGCCCTTCCCCTAATTTACATTTGTCCTTTCGGAACCTGGTGTAGACAGCCAGCATGGACCGACGAGGTCACGCGTAAAATATGTCCAGGAAGGGTTGACAGGCGAAGGAGGTTCGATTCTTCCCGACGGCTTCAATCTTTCGAGAACGACTTTTTCTTTCGGTTAATCCACCCATGCTTCCTGCTCTGATTTCAATGGCCACTCATGACCTAGTGTAGACTTATGAACATAAGCCATCGTGGACCGAGGCGGTCCAAACAGACTTTTGACGGGAAAAGGAGGTTCCGATTCCTTCGGACTGCATGTTTCCATACTGTAACCTCCACTTATGTTTCAGGCTGAATCTCTCACCTTCAAAGAATATCTAACACCTCCAAACCCGGTGTAGAAAGCCGTCGTGGACCGCGGCGGTCACCCAGACCATTTAGTAGGGGAAAGCAAGGGGAAAGTGGGTTCGATTCCTCCCGATGGCACTTCGGAGTTCATACGCTATTTTTCGCCTTTTGCGGGGTTTCTTTTTGAAAGCGAGTGAAACACTGTGTGGTGTGATTTTGTATCAGCTATGGAAACGGAGGCGCCGGGAAGTGGAACAGTGCGCAGCGTGCAGGGGTGGAAGTTTGTGTAACAATTGTTTTTACAATCAGACATGCATTGCATTTTCTCTGTTCAGTTACTAGCTCAATCCATAGCCTTGATCTTTATATTTCTGAAAGCCGCTGTGGATCATCGCGGTCACCCGTAAGAACCGGGAACGGGAAGCGGAGGTTCGATTCCTCCTGACGGCATCCGAGAGTCGGATCCAGCCCCCTTTTTTTGTGCTACTGTTCAGCAGCGCTAAACTCTAAAAGTGCATCTAAAAACGATATCCAAGGCAGACCGGAGAATGACCTCCGTTTCTATATGCCCTTAGCCGGGTCAGCGAAATTGGACCATTGTATGGTGCGTTGTCAATCTGGGGTCACGCTCGCGCAATATCCCTCAGTGCCTTTGCTCTCTGGTACTTTTGAAACATCCCTGATACGATATCTGTCTGGTGCTCATGATACAGCCGCAGCAGGGAGTTGCTCTGGTTGTAGGCGTCACAGCGTTTCGTGCTGGTCCTGCCTGATCCGCCGCCGGTGCAGGAAGAGGAAGCATGAACGCCGATGTGTAGTTGGCTCGAACATATGAAAGTAAATCGAAAGTATACATGGTCAGGTTGAAATCCGGTGAGGACCTCAGAGGCTAATCCGGCGGAATTCATCCTGATACACACGGGAGTCGTGACCGTGAACGGTGAGATCCAGCGTGGTCTGGCGCAGGTTTGGGACGGTTGGAACCGTCGCAGAATATAGCGTATATAACCCGCGCGAGCCGTCCTTCTCGAAATCGATCATCGACATCGCGATTGTTGGGCTGATGGTGCCTTCACATCAATCGTGATCAAATACGAAAAAGCGTAGGAGGGTAATGTCGTACCAAGTTGGGGTGAAGGTGCGGAGATAATGGCTGTTACATTTTGTGCCTCGACGGCGGTGAAAACCTGGGTCCCATGAGCTTCAAATCAGATGGGGGAAAGTAGATAGACTAACAGCAGCATGCACGGAGAGTGTTCCATCCGACGCGAGGATTGTCATCTGCGGTAGGAATATGGCAACGTCTTGCATTGGAAAGCCTGCGCCCCCATTATCGAATATCTGAGCCGATCCATCAAGCAGGACGGTGATTTTGAAGGCCGAAATTCCGTGTGCGGGATCAATGGTTGTGTTGAAGAGATGGTAGAACGTCGTGCCGAACATACTGCTGTCTCCGGTTTGAACCGCGGTGGCATCAGTGGCGAAGGCCGCGGAAGAGGTTCCGTTGCGGGAGATCCATGTTATGCTGCGGATGGAGCGATGAGAACAAACAAATTTTACTAGAGTTTAGCGGCTCTGGCGGCACATCTTGCCGACTATGACCGACATGTCCTGATCCTCGGAGACACACTCATCGGCACCCTCCAGGCTGTGCCAACCGTCGGAGGCACATGACAGCACAAGTCGGCAAGCTGTGCCGCCAGGGCCGCAAAAACAAAAGTGAGTATTATTCGCACCGGACTTGATGTGCAGCAGCGAAGGTCGTTGACAGAAGCTGATGAGTAGATAAGTACTCAGCATTGTCGGAGGATATCGAGAAAGCGTGGTTCACCCTGATGTATCCGCTGAATTGGAGCCGCCCCACGGGATCAACTTCAAGCGATATGTTCACTGGCTTCACTACGTTTGGCGTGATGATTTCTGTCAGCTGCACGGATGCGGGCGTGGTGTCGATCATTCTTGTCAACAGTGATACGCACGTCGAGATAAATTTGGAAGATGATTCTGCAAGCCTAAGCAATTACTCAATATGTGGCAAAAGAATTGAGGAAGTAAATGCACCCTTGGAGAGTTGCGTTATTATCTGAAAGATAGAGTCGTAGATCCGATCGGACAGTGATATTATCAGTGGTAACGAGCGGGCCTGATCATGAAGGATCAAAGGGTGAATAGTCAATGAGACGAGTGAATCATCGAACCTCCTTTCTGGCCCTCCCATTGAAGATACTCATTCAAGACGTCCACGTCAAACACCGCCGGCGTGGCATCGAAGTGGATGCCCCCGCCTGTATTATTCGGGGTGACAGCGCTCTCGGGGACTGGTATCTTGTAAGCGTGAAATATTATCAATCTGAGAATCACTCACCCACTTGCGGAAATCCACCGTGATGGACCGAGCCAAGAGTGTGTCCGCACACCGTGAGTCCCTACATTTATGAGGTGCATCATTCCAAAACGGGTTATGAGAGCACGCACGATAGCATCGCTCTGACTGAATCCGGCTTGGAAAAACTGATTCAAGGTGCTGTCGATGTCCGTCTCCGGCTCCGGGACGCCGAATAATCCTCCATCCTTTGCATCTACTCTTCCACCTCGCAATGGGATAGAAATGGTCGGCATCGAGCACGTCCCCACCGACATAACCACACTCAAAGCAATCATATCCGCCGCTATGGAGTCGTAATCAGTGGAATCACACTTGTCAGTCTTG